GTCCAGCGATCTTTATTGGGATTATAGTCGGGGTAACGTCGCTCATCGTCATTGCTGTTATTATTTTTGTCTTGTTTCGACGACGACAGCGTCAGAGACAATTCAGGCAAACAGTCGGTGAGCCTGCAATCATCAAAAATTTAGTATCATGTTTTACGAAGAAAATATCTATCCCTCTAGACTTGCTTGCTGATCCTCAGACTCCAGCAATGCGGACTGTATATACCGATACTCTACCACAGCCGGATCAATCAGAGTCATTAGTTCATCCTCAAACATCTCAAGATACACCACAGTGTAAGTCTTTGGTTTATCCGTGTATATCATGATAACTCGAGCATGTAAATATTTCGTAGTAGCCGCTGTAATTCCGAACATTACAGTGTGGACCCAAACTCCTGAAAACAAAGGACAACATGATATTCGAACTAGGCCACTACCTTTATCGTCCCCAAGAAAAGGCAATGCTTCCAATATAACACAACATCCGAGCGCAAGTGGGCAAGATGGATCTATAACGACAATTCATTACCGTGACGGTGATACATCTATGACGAACTTGATTGTGCGAAGAGAAGCAGATGCAGGGGTGACACTGGCAGGTGGGAGAGATATTGAAGAAATTCTTCCACCAGCATATGGCGATTTCTAATGGGATCCTGAACTATCTAATATTTTATGTATTTGTTGATCCATGTATGTTCTAAGGTGAGGGAGTCGGGGTGGAACGTTCAGTGGTCTTATGGTGTTTAGTGGCTAGCGGCTTCTGGTTCTTGCCTGCGAATATCAAGACCAAGTACCCCAATGCCCACCTCTCTCCGTTCATTGATCAACATCTGATGGAGTAGTCGGTGTACTGAATGTAGTTTCTCACAATGATCATGATGTTTGTAAATATCCTAAGCCAATTGAATAAATCACCATGATGTAGCCTCAGACACACCCATATAAGCTAAAATGATTTCTTATATCATGTCTCCAGTGCAGATGTTTATTGCTGAACCCTTTTCATCCCATTCAACGCAGCCTTCTAGCATGTTGAAGCCTCGAGGTAGTACTGAGTACTGCAGTAGCTACTACTAGTACTACATACGTATTAGTAGTACGTGTACAGGGTCAGTGTAACGCCCGTTACCGAGCAATAGTCTGAGGAATCAGCGCGATGTAACTGACGAGTCGAAGGAGCAGTGAATGAGGTGTGAATGAATACGTTGTTCTCACAACGTCTAGAAGAAACGATATAGTCCTAGCCGTATTGACGACTACAGGGAGTTAATACGCGAGGTCAAGAAGTTCTCGTATTTCAAGAACTTCAATTCTAGCGAATAATCAGTATAAATGCGTGAAATTCACCGTACTCACCTTGTCGAATTCGAGCCTAGCTCAATCAGACAGTGAGTTTGTGGGTGAAAAAGAATGTATTTTTCTAAGTACGTAGGCTACTCTACAGTATACCTACGAACTCGCGTAATAAGCATTGAAACAGTGAGGCATAGGCATACTTACATATCGCATATTAGTCATAATGGGCGCTAAGATAGCACTTCTAACTCTACTAATTCTAACGTCCGTTACAGTCAGTAGCCTCGTGTTTTTGAGCGCCCCAATTTCGCCGATCTATTGCGGCCATTCTGCATTCAGCTCCAACTTATACTTGGTACATCCTCCTTTGCATTTTACCATGTCCTCATCTAATTCGTCCTCCTCACAACGCAAACACAGAACTCCATCTTCTTCTCGCGTGAGCACTCTGAAACTTGACTTAGCAGACTCCAAACCTCCGGTGAAGAAACAGAAGCTTCGACCATTGTCTGCAGTAAGTACACTACATTTACATTGAAGAACATGAAAGGAGAAATGTTGAACTTATGCAGTTTTTGATTCTTACTTGAACAAAGTTTCCGAAATTCGATTTATCAAGCAGTCAAAAACAATCATCATCACAGACAAGCTCTCAACCAACTGAGAATCCATCGTCATCGTTATCGCAAGGTGGAAGGCAGAAGACTATCAGTTTGTCGCAGACCAAACCCATCTCTCAATCGCAGTCTCAACATAGGAATTTCCTCGAGAAGAGTATAAGCTCGAACAGTGGAAAGGGGAAAGAAAAGGAAATACTTTCAGTTGAAGATGGTGAGTGTCTAGGTGCTGTCGCGTCCCACTCGCGTGTCCTGACGCGTCAAAAACCAGAAAATCAAGATGATAGAATGTGGATTGATATCTACGAGCCAAGTAACGAGGTCAGGACGCGTTATTCCTCTGCCGTCGTACTATTTCTCATCTATCTGTTTCGTCTCGTATATAGGAAGAACTTGCCGTCCATGCTCGCAAAGTACAAGACGTTAGACAGTGGTTGCTGGAAGCCTTCGAGGGTGGGCCTACTGGAAAACTAAGGAAATATCGAGTAAGTCTCTTTTGTGAACCTCATATGTCACTTTTTTTTAGTTTTCGCTCAACGTCGTGAACAAGCGTATATTAGTGTTGACTGGACCTGCGGGTTCCGCGAAGACAGCTACTTTACGCGTACTTGCTGAAGAAATGAATTTTGATATGCTGGAATGGCGGAATGGTCCTGATGAACGATTCGATACAGGTGAGCCTACGATTATCTTCGCTAAATGCGTATATGCTGAATATTTATTAGATCACATGGATACGGAATCATTGAATGAGAAGTTTTCTTCTTTTCTGACAAGAGCTGCAACTTGTCGACCTATTTTTGGCATTAAACCACATCAAACGTCGACTAAGCAGTCTGTTACCCAGGGCAATACGAAACGTCAAATCATTCTTCTCGAAGACCTTCCTAATATTCTTCATCCATCGACTCAAACTGCGTTTCACTCCTCTTTGAATACTGTGGCTAAACATCCCCAAGTGGTCACACCTGTTGTCATCATTGTCAGCGACGCAGGATTGAGAGGTGAGATTCACGAGGATGAGATGGGTGTGGGAGGTAGTACAGGGTCAGGGTGGAAAGGAAAAGGAAGGGAAGCTATAGATGTCAGGACTGTCTTACCTTCGGAACTTTTGGTTTCCCCTTATGTCACACAAATTGCGTACGTCCTTCCACTTTTCTGAATTTGATGTCAATTCATTGACTTTGCTGGATATTTTATGGCTGAATAGATTCAATCCAATCTCTCCGACACTCATGAAACGAGCATTACAACATATTATCTCGAAACGGGCGTCTTCTTCGTCTACTCAACCTCAACTTTCGAAGGATGTTCTCGATATCATAATTGAATCGTCGAAGGGGGATATCAGGAGTGCTATAATGGCTTTGCAGTTCGCAACCACGTCTTCTTATAACTTACTGACCGTGAATCCTTTGAAATCTAAGGCAAAGTCAAAGAAGAAAGGTGGAAATGATCGTGCTTTGATAGAGGCTATCACTCGACGTGAACATAGTTTGGCCTTATTCCATCTATTGGGGAAGTTACTCTATAACAAACGTATGTCTGTTTATTGTTCCTTGTCCTTCTTTGTCTATCTGTTGTTCTGATGGATTCTTTGTTGTCGTGTCTGTAGGGAAGGGGGATGCTCCTGCTTCATCTATATCTGCTAAAGATGCACAAAGGGAAAAAGACTTGGATGCGAAACTTAAGGATCCACCAAAATTGCCCACCCATTTGAAAGAACATGAGAGAAGAGCTAGTAGAGTTGATGTCGAAGTACGTGTATTTCTTTGGTGGTTCTTGATCAGATAAACTGATCTATATATTATTATTCCCCTGATATCCTAAATGCACTCTACAATCTCTCTATCTTTTTTTCAGCAACTCTATGCGGATTCTCCGATTGACTCTTCCTTGCTATCCCTCTATATTCACCAGAATTATACCCAATACTGCAATGATATATCAGAATGTGAAGGAGTAAGTGATTGGTTGAGTTGGGTGGATTCAAATGGTGGCGAGACTGTACGTGCTTATCTTTCCGCTGCCTATCTCGTATGAATATTCCAGTTACTGATGCTGTACATGATTCCTAGTGGTATCAGGCGAATCCTCATCGATTCCACCTTGTAGCTCTTGGAACTTTACATTCTCTACCGTCACCTGTCCAGAGACGGAATCAGAAACCTTACAAGCCAGAGTTCTTTGAAAATTTGAAAAAGGAACGGGAAGCTGAAGATGGGATCAGGGATGTTCAAACTTGGTTGTCAAAGGTATGATTATATCGATCTTGTTCGAGTTTGTTGGTCTTTGTACTCATTTCTTTAGGATGTGAATATGGGGTATAATTGGCCGAGAGACGAGATTTCTACCGAACTTGGAGCTGTGCTCAAAAGTAGAGACAACACAGGATCAAGTATGTTTGATGATCCTTGTCCTCTCTCTTCGCTGTTCTGAACTTTTTCTTTCTCTTCTTGTAGACATAAGACCGCCCCCTACACATCGGCGTTTCTCCCGATTGGAATTTATTAAAGGAGTGTCGGGAACGACGGTATTGGCGGATGATGCTGATATACCTGTTGAAGATGACGATGACCATGCGGCGGTCTACGGGAATCGATATCTTGAAGACCGTGAGGATGTGGATGAGGTTGAGAGTGCGAATGGAGGGGGTTGGTTAGAAGAGGATGATATTGAAGATTTCTGACGGTGTACCTTGCTTTGGAGATATGAATGGATCGGAAGCTGTAGCTGTTGCAGTACTTACGAGGACACTTCGATTCACGGTCCAATTTGCAAAAATGTCTCTGTAGTATGGTATTAAGCGCTTGATTACTTATAATTAACTCAATATGAATTAAATCACGGTTCTCATAGAGGATGTAAGTTCGGATCTTTGACATTGTTGTTTTACTTCTGTAGCACGTGACTTGACGTTCAGTAGCATCCATTGCAGATACTACTTTATATGGAATACTTCAGCGCTTGATCACTTCGAGCCACATACTTTGAATTCTCTGCTCTGAAACTTTGAAGCTATTAGTATCGATCCTCCCCAAAAACCAAGTTTAGCGATGTTTTGGAAGATTAAAAAAATGATTCCCATTAGCCGACTTGAACGACTGACCTCTTCATAGAACAGTTTGAGCTGAGCCCAATCATTAATTACTAGTGAAGCGCTCTACCACTGAGCTAAACGGGAACTTGTAATCTTTTTCGCAGGTTCACTCTGTCTCTAGTCGACGACGATTTCCGATGATGGTTTGATGGCTTAGCTTGACTCGGAGGTGTGCTGGCAGGCTCACCAGTGCTTGGTCAACACCACCACGAAACCCACCAATATATGTTATCGACATTCAACGTGCAATCGACTCAACTTCAAGTTAGACTGGGTGCGAACATGCAAAGCACGTGCGTCGTACGGGATTACTGCCGTTATGACCTACACATGGTCTCTTCCGACGAAGTTAAGAACCTCTACCCTGCTGACCGCTTTCCCGATCCAACCGTCGGAGACAGTCTCGCTGTAGCTTATAAGCAAGTGCCAGCCTTGCTATAGCCGTCAGATTGTCCCTCTTTAGCTCTCCCGGTATACAACACTGGTCAGCCTCTTGGTTCAGTTCCGAATCCAAGACAGGCCACTTTGGACTATATCACTTCAACTGGTCTCGAAATTATGTATTCATTCATACTATCATTCACTGCGTTGTTGTGTCTACGACAACATTACGACGTTTTGGCAGTACCTGTATTATCAGTTCGTAAGTACTCACTGTTCTATTTCTCAAGGACAAATTTTTCGTTCTTATCATTAGCCGAATATCTAGAGAATCTCCTTTCTCTTGACCCTTACCCGAACAAGCCAAGAGTTACTTTCAGACAAGATGGTACTTTCAAGATTACTGTGTTTTCCGACCTTCATTATGGCGAGAATCCATGGGACGATTGGGGTCCTCAACAAGACGTGAACAGCGCACAGTTGATGCGACAAGCCCTGACTATTGAGAAGCCTGATTATGTGTATGTTTGGAGTTTCTCACTATGTGGCGGACTGTATGTTGATGGTTCAATAGTGTTTTGAACGGGGACCTCATTACTGGTGAAAGTAAGTAAATCTAATTTATACACTTATTGAGGTCTCGAAATAAGGACTGACGAAAATGAATTTAGATACCTTTGCCGAAAATTCAACCACATTGATTGATGAAATCGTCGCACCCCTGAACGAGGTCAAGATACCCTTCTCGTCAACTCACGGAGTAGGTGATTCTCCTGTTGCTTCGAACGAGCTAGTTACTGATCAATATACTCCACAACAGAACCATGATAACAACATCAACATAACCCACATTGCTGAAATTTTGCGCGAACAGAAAGTTGCTCCTCTATCTTATACCCGAACCGCTCCTCCTGGCGTCGGTGGAGAGTTTGGACCTGGAACGTATTGGGTTCCCGTAAGTTTGTTCTACGCTCTGCACTTTGGAATATTATATTGACTATCACTTGTTCCAGGTATATGCTGGTACTCAAGGTAAGAGGCGCTTCGCGTTCATAGCCAAGCATATTTTCTGACAGCTTTTACACGTAGCAAAAAAGCCCATCCTAATTCTTTGGTTCTTCGACTCCAGAGGTGGATTCTCTCCTGGTGCTAACTCGCAGCCTGTTCCGGATTGGGTCGATAGCACTGTTGCGACTTGGATAGATCAACAAACATCGATCATGAATACTGCTTGGGGTCCGGCAGAAAACAACAGAGCTTCGATGGCTTTCGTTCACATTCCTCCGTAAGCGGTTCATCTCTATGCCATCTTGTCGAGTTAACATCTTTACGAAATTCGCTGTAGACATGCGATCCAAGTCGTTCAAACTACGTTGAATAGTACAATCAATCCTGGGCTTAACGCTGATATCCTAGGAGTGGGCTCAACTCAGGCTACTACTAATTCTGCAAATAGCGGCAAAGACGATGCATTTTGGGAGACATTGAACACCAAAGTCAAGAATCTGAAGGTGGTTGTTTCCGGTCATGGTGAGTCTGATATGTTTATATGATATGATTGAGTTTGCTGAATTTCGATGGTTAGATCACGGTAATGAGTGGTGTGCTCGTGAACCTACTCAAGATGTCATTTTTTGTTTTGATAAACATTCAGGGTGCGTCATTTGATTTGAAACTCCTTCACCAACCTTCTAACCTTCTCTTCCCATATTTCCCGGTTCTTCCTATCATTCCCAACCATCACATCTATGATGCTCAGGTTTGGAGGGTACAGCAGTGCAGGATGGCTTCACGGCATCCGAAGTTTCGTTTTGAATACCACTGTTACGGATGTCAAAGCGGGGATTGAGAGTTACGTGTTGGTTGAGGATGGAACGACGAGGGATAGAGTGTTTTTGGATCGGAACTACGTCTGAGATCTGAACACTGGCATCCATCTGCCCCCTTGTGCTTTACCTCCAAGCCTTTTGTTCCTGAATATCGAATGATCGTCTATGAAGTGGATTTGCGTTTGAACCTCATAATTAATTCCGGTGTCGGAGACTTCTCTTGGATTCCTCAAAGCTATGAATTTCTGAAGATCCGAGCTTTTGCGGTGAATGTTGGTTACGTCGGCATCCCCGGCGATCAATACTCTTTCAGCGTTCAGGATACACGTGTTAGCGTGCAAAGGCTTTCTCTCCGCTTCAACTTTGGACTTGATTCAATTCTAACTTGAACCTGAACTATCGTGTTACGACGCGTTGTTTTTCATGGGATTTCAAGTGAACACAGAAATTGTTCAACTACTCACACCTGCAATGTACCACCGGGGCTCGGCATTGTCATCGCCAGCGCATCAGAAGTCAGTCAGCCGATATACAGCGCACAAACTGTGGAATTTTGCACGGTCTCAAGCTCAAGTTTGATCCTTTGTTCGTGAGTCGCCTGCTCAGTTCTCAATGGCCATTGTTATATTTTTGTATTTATAGATTGTTCTAAACTATCGATGTCGGAATTCAACATTAATCATGATCCCAATTGAAGATATCAGTATCGCATTGGAACATCCTGAGCAACCTGTTTCCACACTTTGAAATCGGTTGTATCGAATCGTCCAGGGCTCCAAGTCTTGTCAAGTCGATTCGACTCATCCTTGTTGCAGAGATCGTTGTAACTCCACTCGCATCACAGATTGTATCCTTTTTCAGCGGCGCTACTCAACTAGAGACTTCAGCGGAGGTTTCAAAATCGCATTGCATCGTATAATATGTTCGTTTGGACACGACAGAAGTCAAAAACTTCAAGCCGACTTTGCCTTGGAGTTCGAATCAAAATTTGGAGTCGGCCATCTTTACCTCGAAACGTATCCGGCACTGATGAGGAATGAATCAAGGCAGGACTAAGCATTCGAACCCTCGTATTCATGGTGTTGAACTTATAGAGCGTCATTAGGTGCATTGCCTTGGATATCTTTAGGAAAGCACTACACGGCACGGTGTATGGATGTTAGGATCGTATGAACCTTAGGATCGCAAAGTCAACAAAGCGGTGGTGTTGCCGAGCGAGTAATAGCTGCCTGACGCCGATACGCTGTGGTGTTGGTGGATTCTGGGGTAGTCCCCAAAACGCGAAACGTTGGTATATAAGGATGGTAGTTCTGGTTGGGATGGTTCTTCAGCCTACTGCTCATTTATTCTTTCTTTCATACCAAAAGTTGCCGGTCAGGTATGCCCTCTGCGTTTCCTCCCTTTCCTCTCAATACTATGCTGATGTCGTCGTTTCCTTTCGTTTCTTTAGCTTTTGAGTCACCTTTTGGTGTTAAACTTTCAAACTTTCGTTTTCATTTTCACGACACACGATCACTTTTTCCGTGACTAACGATTTCAATCTTACGACGTAACTCGTCCTTCATTTTTGTCACTTGTAAGTGTTTCTTGGAATTTCTTTGTTTTCTCTGAGTTACTGATGTTTGCTTTCCTTTCGTAGCAATCTTTGACATTTAAATCACATTCACAATGCGTGTTTCCACCATCATCCCTGTCGCCGCTCTCGTCCTCGCTGGTGCACCTGCATTTGCAGCCCCCGCTGCGTAAGTAAACCGTTCAATTTCAATGGTCGAATTGCATACTTAGACAAAACTTTCATGCAGTGAGGTTGCTTCCGATGTCGCCGCTCCTGCTGATAACACCCTCGGGCAGGCCGCTGACAGCAACACTGTAGGTCAAGCACCCGCCAAAGTTGGTACCCATCACCACCACCACCAACATCAGCATGGTCAACATCATCATCATCACCAAAACCCCAAACGTGAACTCACTCATGAACATGCTCACGCTCATTCTCACGGTCATGGTGGTCTCGAGCATGCTGAACATCACGAACATCACCGTGAAGGTCACGCTGGACTCCAACACGCTCATCACTTGATTCAACGTGAACTTGAAGGTGGAAGACCTCATCACCACGAAGGTGCTGGTGAACATGTTCACCACCATCACCATGAAGGTGCCGCTGCTGCTGGTCACGTCGGACATGCAGGTCGCCATATGCACCACGCTGCTCTCACTGCTCGTGAGCTCGAAGGTGGTCATCCTCATCATCACCCTGGCATGGGTATGGAGCACCACCATCACCAGGGTGCCCTCGGTCACGCCGGTCGCCATATGCATCACTCTTTAGCTGCTCGTGAGCTTGAGGGTGGTCATCCTCACCACCACACCGGCATGAGTATGGAACATCATCACCACCACGAAGGTGCCGCTGCTGGTCACCTCGGTCATGCTGGTCGTCACATCCACCATGCTTTGGCTGCTCGTGAACTCGAAGGCGGACGACCTCATCACCATGAAGGTATGGGTATGGAACACCACCACCACCAAGGTGCTGCTGGCCACGTCGGTCATGCTGGTCGTCACATCCACCACGCTGCTCTCTCTGCTCGTGAACTTGAGGGTGGACACCCTCATCACCACGGTGGTATGGGCATGGAACACCACCATCACCTCGGTGCTGCCGGTCACGCCGGCCGCCACATGCACCATGCCTTATCTGCTCGCGAACTTGAAGGCGGACACTCTCACCACCACGGAGGAATGGGTATGGAGCACCACCATCACCAGGGTCTTGCTGGCCATGCTGGTCGTCACATGCATCACGCTTCGATGGTTGCTCGCGATCTTTCAGGTTTCCGACCTGTTCACAATCGCTTCGGTCTTCGTGTC